GATGCAGGATCAACTTAAAGGCTCGAAATGAGTAGGTTTGTTCTGCTGTTCCAGAATCCAGCCGATCCCACACTACTCGTGCCATTCTGCCTCTCATAGTTCGCACAGCTTACAACCAAAAATTGCATTTTTCTTGCTAAATTGGTCAGGCAGTAAGATAAACAGAATCCCCTTTGTCTTGTATTCATTCGTATATACTACAAGCTAAGACGACTACAACTTTGCTCGGGTGCGGTGTAGTGGAAAGTTCAAACGACAGGGGATTATAAATAAGCACTCTGGTACACCAATTCCGACGAACATACACGAGAAGGGAGGATAAATGTATGTTGGTGCTCCTACATAGAACGATGTATACCTACAGCGACAAAGCAGAAGGGAAGCATAAAGGCAGACCACTACCACCATATCGAACAATGGTTTCTTACTGATACACAAATTCCGACAAAGACAGGAGCACATAAAGACAGAGAGAATGTTCTCGGGGGCCCAATGTCCGTCCGACGAGCAAATACAACTTACGACTAACAGCGGTAAGCCAACTCACGTCGATTCCGCCGGTATGGGTTTCAGCGAATCCAACCACTGTAACAGAATGTGGTAGTCTGAGTTTACTTTCCCTGCAACCGGCGTGGCCATGTCCTCAACGAATGAATCGATTTTCTTCTCTGTGGTTGTTTTCCCCGTTTCGAAGTAATCGTTGCTCGAGTAGAGTTGTTCCTCGATTTCTTTCAGCGCCTCGTCATAGTTGATGTCTTGCTCGTCTTCGTCTCCGCTCAAGCCAGACTCTTTGATCAACATCGCGGAACTGGCCAGTGCCTCGCGGACCGTGTCGGTGTATTCGTGCTTCTTGTGTGCAAGCTGATTCACAACTCGACGTACGAACGAGTCTCCGAGCACTGCTACTCGCATCAGCCTGGCATCAAGAATTGCATGCAATGACATTCTGAGCGCGTTGAACTTGATGGAATATATCTGGCAACGCTTCTTAGCATACTCCAGATTTCGCTTAAGAGCCTCCGCTCTCTCTTCCAAGCTCTCCAACAACAGCATCGCCAATTGAGACAACTTAACCGCCGGTTCGACGGCTGCGGAGGCTCCGTTTTGCGGGGACAGTGGGGTTGACTCTGTAAGTTCAGCGCCCTTGTCACGCGAGGATGACGGAAGAAATGAGCGTGGATCAGACGAGCCGTACGACTCGGCTGTGCGGTACAAAGCGTCTATGCCGTGCTCGTAGCGCCTGCTACTGCTATAACTGGTATTGGACAGCGTTCTGGTGGAAGAAACTGGACTAGTCCTGAGTCTGGTGCGTGGAACATCTTCCAAGCTGGCTCCATCTGCATCTGCCTTGCGTTTCTCTCGGCCATTCCATTGTCTGCCAGGACCTTTTGGCATTGAGCCCGAGGACAACCTCTTGCTAAGGATAAATTTACTCCATGGCTCCTGCTTCCGGACCTCGAAAGCCGTGCCGATATCAAATCGGGAGGCGGCATGTCGATCAACAGATACCTGAGAGGGTGCTATGTCATCATAACTATGGCCACTGCGGACTGCCTCCACCAGTTTGCAATGAAAGTCATACTGTGCCTGCGCATCACGAAGACTTGCATCTGCGGATATGAGCAACTTCTTGGCAACGTTAAACTCCCAAATCAATGCGGGGATGAAAAACTCCAGGATCCGTCGCAAGAAATCGACTTGAGATTCCCTGACGAATCGCCCGTTCTCGTAGCAATCATCGTAGGCGAAATTATCACCCATAAACTCCTCGACGAGCTTGACATTTGGATAAACCTCGGTCTCGATGCCATCAAGACGCTTGCCCTCAGTGCCTGCGAAACGGTAGAAAACAGAGTAATGGGGCCGAATTCTGTACCCTTCACTTCCTGTCTTCTCGACGCGGAAATGAAAGAGGTAATTATCGTTCAGCACTCTCAGAAATTTGTTCCAATTGACTGAGGTCGCTGTCTCATCGAACCGAATCAGGATGTCGCGTGGCTCGAAGAAGTCCGGGAGGACAATCATAAAGCCACGCGCGACATGATATCGAACTACGTCCGTCGCTCTTCGTACAATGAACGCAGACGGAGCAGAACGATGCTGAAAATGTCATCAATACAAATCCAGGTTTTACGTGTCGTGTCACTTACACCTAGAGTAATTCCCTCGAGCAACCTCGACTTCTGCACGAGTTCGGTGATTGTGGTCGCCTGCTCACTCGCCTCTTCCTCTACGACCTGACGATGACCAGAAAAAGCTGACTGCTGGGCCTTGATTGCCTCATTCATGTTATCGTACTTCTTACAGATGGCAGACAGCTTCGAGTGGGAATCAATTGCCACTTCACAGAGAAGGTCAAGAAGTTTCTGCTCCGTAACGTCCCTGCCAGATCCTTCACTTCGCACGAGTTTCTGCTGTAGGGCTCGTCTTGCATGGGTTAGTCTATCAAGAGTGCCTGCAACTCTGGTCAGCTAGACGAAAGCGACGACTCAGACGAGACGTACCAATTTGTGAGACACTTGAAAGATGCAGACCACCTCTCAAGGTGGGTGGACTGGAAAGGCGAACATCCGTGGCGGACACCTTATGGGTCATTCTCGACAACACAATATGCAAGCGCGCTGATGAGAGACGATGATGAGAGACGATGATGTGGGGATGATGGTGGTTGATGATAAAGGCTGGGGTGGTCTGCGATCGTAGTCCGGATCCGGAAATATGGTGCATCGCTCTTGTTTCCATCTGTCCCACCGTAGAATCATGAGCGATTTCCTTCAGGAGTATCTCGTCTGCTTTTGCACAGTAAGGCAGTATTTGAATGTGATAGCTTGATAGCCGAACCTGCCCATATAAATTAGGTCATTGCCTGTTTTTTTTGCATGCTTCTGTCTTCTTTCTCACCTGCCGCTATGCCACGTAATCCCACACAGAAACGACCTTCACAAAGCAATCCTATGGTGGAAGCAGTAGAAGGCAAACGACAGTCTAAGCTGAGTAAGAAGATTCTTGAGGCTGCAAGTCAGGATGCTCCTGTATTGAAGCATCATGGTCGCCCTCCCAAGCAAGTGCCAGGACAAAGCGACTTAAATACTGATGTCCATGGTGACAAAGCTAAAGTAGGCCCTTTCAACCTTCTCTCTTCTAACGAGTCTGAATAATAATATGTTGCATTGCAGCATACTTCAGTCTGGGTTGATGAAGGAGCTCTGGCGAAACTTCAAGACAAGAACAGAGTTGATGGTGGGATTCATGTGGCTCAAGAGACTAAGGTGCTCTTCTTTACTGTTCTCTTCATATTTACTCATTATCTTTGAAGCATTATAAAGATTTTTGTCAACACAAAGGGTCCAGTGTAAATGCACTCACACTGGGAAGTGCTACAATCATCACAAATTCTGAAGATGACTGTAAC